GGATAAGACACTTTATATTTTTAACCATACAATGGTATGAATAAAAACAATTTTTGTTGGGGAATAAATAAGTATAACATTAAAGAAATCAAAGTCATTAAAAAAATCACTTCATTCATATTCTGACAATTTCTGTTTGAAATCCCACCCAGACTCTCACAGGCTATATATATGTGACCATGTTTTCAATTCCCATATTTCGTAAAGAATCTACTGGAAGGCTTAAGATGTGTCACATTGATTGTGATTCCAAGTTTTTCATCTTGCATAAGGAAAAGGGGCATCCATTTCTACTTAGTAACCATCTTTAGCTATATCCATACTTTGAATGATACATGTGCATTCTGAAATTATAAAAATATCAACTAGAGCTTTGATACAAAGGTTTTATTAGGTTGGAATAGCTTGTATTTCTTGATGTATAAATGCCTTTAGTGAATCCTTAGGATATGCTAGATATTTGGTTTTCTTGCTCTATGTTAACATTTTATAGTACAAGGAATTATGGGAAGATAGTTGCTGATGAATAGTGAAAATTTTATCAGAGATCTCTTGGTCCAAATAAAATACAGGCATTTCCAAGGAAAACATTTGTTCTTCAAAAGAGTTCAACTCTCTAGAAGTTGTTTACAATTAGACCATTGACGGCTTTCTACAAGTAAGTAAGGTACATTCTGGAGGTGGACTGTTTGCTTTGATTGAAAACTCAGGCTGTTTCCATTTTGTTAAGTCTTAAAACTTAACTAATCTGCCTAATATTATTTGTATGTATATATTTCAGGGCTGACCATTTGATATTAGATAATGAAATGATGTGCTGTTTTTTGAGGAAGACTATTTCTTTTGCTCTCAGAATTCCTTTATTGTTGATAGGCCTTTTTCTAGGGTTCAGGTGTCATGGGCTTTTCAAAGTCCATTTTGACATGTCTATTAGTGGAGTCTTTGTTTAGCTCAGGATTAGATAATGATGTTGATGAGAATTTATGGATGTAGCTTCTGATGTTACTAGGAGATACAATCTCACAGAAAATTCCTTGATCTTCTGGATCATGCAATCTTTAACCAGGATATTTTTTATAACAGGTTGTAAGTCTCTCTTCAAAGACACCTAGTAGTACTGTTGAGTGATTTAAGATTTGTTAATGTTGGTGAGGATATTTATTAGGACTGAGATTATGTCTGTTGCACTTACCGCTGTAGAATCTCAGCTGGATTATGAATAAAAAAATAGATATTAGTGTCTGATGTTTTCTGAATGGGATTTATTGCACAGTAGTTCCTTCAGTAAAAAATGACCTTAATTCTCAAATTTATTTAAGAATTCTTAGATGACTTATATTTGACCTATAACAAGCATCACTTCAAAATTCTTAATTTGTGGGTCAATGTTTACCTTGGAGTGGCTTTCTCTACTTTGTTTGGTCATTTATTAATATGTAAATCTTGAGTTAGTGACATGTGTCAGGCACATGTGTTTGAAATACAAATAAGATTAAACATGTGAATCATAAACACCTTGAGCTCTTGGGACAGATCCAGGTTTATGATATATAAGTGTATATAGTAGCAATATTCCATATCTTTGTGGTGCTACTATCATATTCATATATATAGCTCTGCCTTGCTGGTAATGGAGACATGAGGTATTATACATTTCTTCATTTTGAGCAAAAATTCCTGCTTTGTGGTGAAATGAGTTGTTTTGGCATCTATTCATTGGCAGAGTAATAACAAATGTTGCAGCAAACCTTATAAATTATGTTTAACTTCCTTTTATCATCCTACAGCCAATTTGGTTGACAAGTCTTTCCATTTGGTAGAGGATGCCAGTGACTTGTCTGAGGCCACTAGTCCTTGATGACATGATCAAAATTTAAAATGGATAGCTTTGGTCCCAGAATTTTGACTTAACTCCAATAGAAGATGAAAATATTTTGAAAGCACTAAATAGATCTCTGAGTTATAATGTTTAAAAAATAGTAAAATAAAACAAGTAAGTAATAAAAAGGTATAAATAATATGAATATTGTAAGAAAAACACCTTCTACTTTTGGTTATTGTTGTTTAGACAATGTCTGGCCTCAACTCAGCACTTTTTTTTTTCTTTTGGTTTTTCGAGACAGGGTTTCTCTGTGTAGCTTTGCGCCTTTCCTGGAACTCACTTGGTAGCCCAGGCTGGCCTCGAACTCACAGCGATCCGCCTGGCTCTGCCTCCCGAGTGCTGGGATTAAAGGCGTGCGCCACCACCGCCCAGCTCAACTCAGCACTTTTGATCTTAAACTTCTGATTCTTTTCTTCAAGCCATAACTCCTGCTTTTTATGGCACTGGGAATTGAACCTAGGACTCCATGCGTGCTAGGTAAACACTCTACTAACAGGTTACAGCTACAGCCATACCTCTTTCTACTTTATTTTTAAAACATGAGAAAACTCATTCCTCCTGTGACAGCCTTAGTAGCTTTGTTTTTCTTGTTGGATATAGCATAGTTCATGGGTGTTAATTGCCATGAATATGTATCAGCGGAGTTGTGAACCACAACCTACAGCATCAATTACAGACTTCACCTTAGTTACATACCTGGATTTCTGTACTTGTTTCTCTTATTTTTGAAGTTGTAATTTTGCCTCTGTAACATTCGTGTCTTTTGAATTAGATTTATCAAAGGAAGTAATAATCCCTCCCTAGTTTCTGAGAAAAGGAATCTATTCAACCGTTTTACAACACAGCATTGGGGTATGGTATGCCCATCATTTCCTAAATTTCATTTCCTGTCATAATTTTTGGTTATTGGCAATTCACAGTGTATTAATCTATAAATTCACACAAAAATTATAAATGAAAATAGTGGGTCAAGAAAAAAATCTATTCAAGTATCATGTAGCCAGACTAGATTAAAATTTAAATGTGAATATTAATTTTAATATAATTCCTAGAACTTAAATATAGCATAAATCTCATTGAAAGCTGAAACAGCCGAATTGATAAGATAACCTTAGTACAATTTATGTCCTATAATTTAAATTAATTAAATTCCATTTATTGTAAAAACCATAAAAGGAACATCTCTAACCTAAGACACAATACCATTTTAAGTTAAAAAAAGAAGTAATGTAATAAAATAATCTTCCAAATGCAAAGACCAATAATGAGCAAATCCAACTGTTTGCTTCATTGTAAATTAATGTGTTTTCTCATTCAACTGATATTTATTGAGTGCCTTTGCAGTGAGTTGAGCAGAGTCTATGCCCATAAGGAGCTTAAATTTTATTGAAAGAAAAAGACTGTTCTGAGAAAACAATTAGCAAGCCAATTCCAGATTGTGGTAATTGCTTGAAGTTAGTGAACAGAAATCTAAAAAGGAGCATGAGTTAAGGCAATCACCCTGGGTAAGCTGTTCAAGCTCCCAGGACCATGGTTTTGAGTGACAGATGGGGAAAGATGTGAAGACTGGGGTGGGACATGGAGCAGTGCATGTTGTAAGCATGTTGTAAGAGAACAGAGGTGATGGCTGACAGACATTGCAAGAAGACACAGTAGGACATGATGATGGGAAGGAAGAAGAGGAACAGAATGTGTGGGGCACAGTAGGAAAAGTGTGAGCTTTGGATTCCCATGGAAGAGCCACTAAATTTTTAAAACAGAGGCATGACGAAATCTACTTTATGTTTTATGTGTATGATGGAAGCATGGAGACGGATGGAAAGGTTTTGAGGTCCAGCTCCTGCATTGACCTGTAGATGAAACATTGAAGACAGACTCATAGGAGACAGTGGGGTGACAGAGAATTGGAGAAGAGTGACCAACAGGACACTAAATAAAGGAAGAAATCAACAAGAAATCTGCTCTGGGGATCATTTGTGTCATAAAAAACAATAAAACTAAAATTAAGAAACATAATTATGAATAACAAATTACATCTTCCTGGTCTACACTGTGGGTTAATTCTCAGATTAACCTGAGTGTGTTCCCTGAGTCAGGCTACGTGGATGACTGGTTTAGCGCCACACAATATGATTTAAGTTTAAAAAGTTTAGTCTAGGCTCTGTCTTCCAGGACAGCATTTCATCTCATTTTTCCATTCCTAGGAGAGGTCAGAGCTCCTTACAATAGAGCAAACCTAGGTTGGTCAAATCCAGTATTAATTTCTATTCTTAGTTTCCCTCAGCAAATACTCATATTTAAAGAGCCTACTACATGTTGAGTGCTCGGTTAGCTTCTGTGCATAAAACTGGAGTTCATACTGGAGTCTAGGGCTTTATGTTCTTTCATGATATTGTGTTGAAACATTGTAAATCATTTAGAACTATAATCTTTGTGGCTCCTGGTAGGTCATCAATACAAATATCAATGTAAAACAATGACCAAGAAATTAAACGCCAAAGGAGCATATTGGTTCCTCAGAAATGTGAGATCAAAGAAGACACTCTTTCTAAGCAGCCAAGAGAATATCAGATTACTTAGGACTGAATAATCAGGCCTAGGAGAAGGCTGATGTGTGTTGTATATTAATGATGATGCTTATAAAGTACAATGTGATTTAGGAAAGCATGAAAAATGATAGATCCATACTAAGATTGGCAGAAGATTCTATTTTAGAGTCTTTAGGAAGGATGGAATAAAACAAATGTGAGACTCAGTGAAATGTTTTTTGTTTTTGTTTTTGTTTTTTGGGTTTTTTTTGTCATTATCGTTAGTCACCTTAGATACAGCTAGAACCACTTCACCCCCAAGGCATTCTGGAGATGTGTGAGAATTGCCTTAGAAACACATGTAGATGTTTTGGGTTCAATCGGATACTTACTTACATCATCCAGTCTCTTCGGTAGCAGGCAGAAGATCTGTAAAGGAAAATAGTCTTCAAAAGATGCATCACTCCCTTTTGTGGAAGCTTAGGCTAGGAATCAGTCTCCGAGAGTGCTAATTTTTGTTTTACTTTGCCTTTGCCTTTTCTGCTCTTGGCTTTAAGCACTGACAACACATATTGGCGTTTCTCTTTTAGAATCACAACTACAGCTGCCTGCATGATGGACCTGAGGCGGTATCCACTGGATGAACAAAACTGCACCTTGGAGATTGAAAGCTGTAAGTCTCTGAGGATCCAGCTCGGCTGGACTCCTGCTTGGAGGGTCACCTTAGACACAGACCCTCTGTGTCTAAATCAGTGGTCTTGCCAAGTTGCTAGAGGCGTACTTGAAATTTGATCCGGGCAGACCACTGACACCCTCTCCCCTCCATAATGCTGCCGATTTCTTACATCTATCTCTAAATCCTATGGAACGTATTTAGGAAAAAGTATGATTTGTCATTAAAAAGAGAGATAGAGACACTAATACCCTGGAAGGATATCACAAGATGTTCAGGAATTTAAAGTATGAAAAAAAAATTGGCACAAAGAGTTAAGACAAGCTTGAGAAAACATGTGAAGGTGACAATATGTCATAAAATATCCCGATTGTACTTGAAACATAAATATTATCTCTTACAGTTATTAAGTGAATGTGGAGTGTGGCCATGAAGACTGATTGCATTCTGAAGATTGAACTGTGGATTTTGTTTGTTTGTTTTTGCTTTGAATCCTTATTTTCAGTGTTGGAAGCTTATCATCTTGCGGAAGGTCAAAGGTCATAGTGTGGGCAAGACTGGTTTGTGTGCCTGTGCATGTGTGCTCCTGTGTGTGCCTGTGTGTGTCTGTGCTTGTGCGTCAGCGTGGCTGTGCCTCTGTGTATGCATGTGTTTATTTTATTTATGATGCTGACTTGCTTTGTAATGTGTTTGCTTTTCTGCACCATGGATTTCACGATGATAAGTCAGTCATCTGCCCCCTTGGGTGGGCTAAAATGTTGATTCTGTTATCTTTCTGCAATCCAGACATCACAAAGAGCTAGTTTAAGGGAAAAGAAGTTTTCATCTATTTTTCTCCACCAATGCTTTGGAACAGTTTTGTAGTTTATCCCAGTCCATAGTTCGAAGCAGACAATTTTAATGCAGTGTACAGCAAGTGGCGGGACTGTGAGGATATTTTCTGCCTTTGAGAAAAATGTTAGCTATTACAAGCAGCATGATTCCAAATCACTGCTCTGAGTAGACACAGTGCATTTATGAAACTTTGTGCATATTTTTACTCATTTATAAAAGACAGCTTCTAGGCATAATTAAATTTACACATACTTGTAAAGAAACTAATTGCATGCTTATATTCTAACTCATCATTATTTCCAAATTTGTTCTTTGCATTAAAATACTAGTTAATGAAATTGGCCTATAGGATTTCAATGATTAATTTTATATGAATATCTTTGGGATAGCATTGCATGTTACATGTGTTTAACTTATGGTATAATATTTCTCAAAGACCAAATTCTTAGGCAGTTTCAGAAGCTCAGTGGGAGGATTTCTTGGAAAAAAATGCTTCTGGGTACCACTTATTTTTTTATTATGATTGTATTTTTGGAGGTAAAATTTTACTGGGCTCATAAAGAATTGTAGTTATGCACAGATGGAATACTTTTACTGATCTACTTCATTCAAGTTTTCTATACTCCTTTAAAAAAAAACCTGGTTTCTTTTATCTTAAATAAGGAATTCCAACTACAGTGATACAGGCAGCACTCAGGGGTTATATTACAACTTGAAAATGGCTATTTTTAAATTAACATTACATATCATTTCAATTTCCATTCTTCATTTCTATTTCTAGTTGCCTTGTGAAATGAAGTAGCTAGCAATATTTATGTCTTTATAACCAGGGCAACAGACCCAAAGAGGTAAAAATGATATTTCTCCAGTATCATTTAGCCCCCCTAAGAGGCAGAATAACTTGGATGATGTGATCATTGATCATTGGTGTGTCTTAGTAAAAACACTGATACTGGATGGACTAGATTAAGTCATCTCTTTTCTCAGTGTCCCAGTCAACAGGTAATTGGTGCTTACAGATGTATCCAGATAGTTAATCATCATTGTAGAAAATGAAATATTTTGCTGTATTGACAATACATGTGATATGTAGGCCTTTGTTATACTTTACTGAATGTATTCAAGTTCTATCCCTTAAACAAGAAGTTTCTATATGATTCCTGACATCTAGGTGATATCCCCCTTAGGCAATTGTTTCCTTTGGTAGCCCAGGGAATCATTAGACTCTTCTCTTTCCTCTCTTTTCCTCCCTCCATTCCTGTTTCCTTCTCTCTCTTCCTTGTCTTTCTTTCTCTCCTCTTCTCATTTCTTTTCCTAGTTCTTAACTTGCAATGGCCCCAGCATTATTGTTAAATCATTATTATTAACATGTTAACAGTAAGTATATTGGCTCATGTTCAATAAGGATGGTGTAACCTATGTCTAGGAAGCTTGGAGTAAGGAGCATGAGAAATGAATTCACTGTTAATTCATTCAATAATTACTGTCTTTATTAACCATTCATTGGACACTAATTACTTACTAGGCATTATAATAAGCTTAGAGATACAATGGAAAGAAAAAATAATACAATGTTCTTATAAATTAAATAATATTGGCAGGATAAATTATTTAATACTTTAAGTTAAAGAAAGATTATTTACAACAAGCCTTGAAATTCATCTTGAGAAGTCTAGATGGTCAGTATGGACTACCTTAGTCAGGACTACTATAAGGTCAACATCACCTCATAATAATGTCAGCCATTCTTGAACAGAGGAGGTAGTGAGCAGATAGGTCTCTGGGCTAAACTGATACAGTGAAGGGGTTTATGTTAGAATACAGTTAGTTAATATAGCTTCTTCAGTGAAATAAGCAAGTATCAGTGGCTGTTCTTCAAACTATTGTTTTATAGTCACACACTATTATTAGGTTTAGAGACAGTTAGGTGAATAAGGTAACATTTCTGTGCCATGCTTGAACTAGTGACTTTTTTAGGCAACAGCTCTGATCCTGATATCACTATTGATATTATCAAATTACTCTGAGAACATTGGACCCAATTAAGCACACAACACTCTAAGAGATAGGTCTGGCAATCAGAACAACTGAAGCCAGACAAATAATACGTAAAACAGACAGCTTGAAGAGCCAGTAGAAGAAACTAGAATTGGAGCTGTGTAGACTCATTTACCTTGAGGAAGGAACATTGATTCTGGGAGGGAGGGATGCAATATTCAAATAATAACTGTGCCATTTCCTCTTAAGGAAGTTGCCTGTACCTGACCTAAAGGGAAAAATAGACCATTGCTAAAGATGCCAGAAAGCAATTTAGGTCAGAAGAGTGAAAGAAATACTCTTAGCAATTATGGCTGGTGAAAATCAAATGGGTAGCTGTATTCTGCAAAACCATTTACTGGGCATGAAGAAATTAGTTTATTAGGAAAGTGATGAGTTTAGAAGGTTTCTAAGTAGCTGTGGGTTGAGGGTGACTTGGCACCAGCAAAAGCTGAAAGAATTTAATTAAAGGATGATAAGGCAACATTGGTTTATATAAGGCTGCAGAGCCCATCTGCATGTACCTCTGGGAGCAGTACTGTTTAGGAAAAGATAAAAATCGTATCCCTGCTAAGTTTCTCTCTCTCTCTCTTTCTTTCTCTCTCTCTCTCTCTCTCTCTCTCTCTCTCTCTCTCTCTCTCTCTCTCTCTCTCTGTGTATATGTGTGTTTCTGCTTGTCTACTGTTACTTAGCTACCTTTCTTTACTCAAATTTTCCTCATTGGATTGCATTTTACAGTTCTGTCTGTGCAGAATTAGACCAAGATACTAACAAGAGCCTCTGTACATACACTATTTCCTAAATAATCTAAACCCTTTTGAATCTTTTCTTCCTCATAAGGCTCAGTAGAAAACAGTACGTTTGTGACTATTTATATCTGTATTGGACAGGGAGTGGTGGAGATGTGTTAAGTAATAAAGCTAGCCAGAATTTTGAATAATCCTTGAATTATTTTCAATTAAAAATATTGCTATGCCTCCCAAACAGGTTGAACTCAGTCCCCAGGGGAGTCTTTGCCCTGGAGGAGATGGGAATGGGGGGTGGGCTGGGGGGAAGTGGGGGCAGGAGGGGGGAGGACAAGGGAATCCATGGCTGATATGTAAAATTAAATTAAATTATAAAATTTTAAAAAGTTATAAATAAATAAATAAAATATTCCTATGCAACTCCAGTGAAGCCTACTTATAATTATTTACCAAAGAAAAGGCCAAGAGCAAATGATCACTGAGTCACTATATAATATTCAGCTGGTATTGCTGTTGGGATTTGATAGTTTCTAGAACTTTATCTAGGCTTGCAGAAGGCAAGGTTGTATCTTCCCACCCTTGCGATATTTGACATTTTGTTGGACTATGATCGAGGCTAGTAGTTATCAGTCCCCAAGACAAGTCCTACAGGAGTGTTCAGAATTTTATTACCTGGGGCAGTTGTTATTTCTAACTCTGAGGTCTAGACTAGAATTCTTCTGCTATTCCGTTCTCCCATCATTTGAAAGCACCACCTTGAATGTGAAAGGTGCATCTGAAGCGGGGCTATTAACCCTTTCACTCAATAATGTCTCTATCCCCAGTAACACCAAAAAATCTTCATTTTCTTCACCTGTAATTAGTCACCTCTTTACATATCCTCTCTTTTCTCTTTCTGCAATTCCCATTGAATACATATTGTGTCTCCTGTATCTGTCTACCATGGATTTGAACCAAAATTCATCAGCTTTTGTCTTCCACATTAATACAAAGTTATTACAAAGTAATTATTAGTAGTGAATTGTTTCCATTGGAATCTATGCATTTAATTTCTAAATTTTTTTTCTAAAATCTCTAGTGTTGATCACTCAGTTGCCACACTCACCTGCTTTTCTATGAAATGTCCTTTTATTCAATCAGTCATCTATTGCAGAAGATAGGTTATTTCTGTTTTAAATAAAATGATTTATATATGACAAAGTCTATTATTAAACAGAATAGTTTAATACTATACACATATATGTGTACATACATTTATGAATATAGTATATATAATCATGCTTCTAATATGATATAAAAAGTTAATTTTTTCAAAGTAATTTATTTCTATTTTATGTGCATTGGTGTTTTGTCTTGCATGTATGTCTGTGTGAAGATGTCAGA